AAGTTGCTACTATTATAAAAAATAAAGATTATTCAATAAAGTATTAAAAAATAGTGAAGTTTTTTATCATTTAAATAAAAAAATTTTTATTAAATTTAATGTGATAATGATCAAGTAATTTGAATTTAAAAGTTTGCATTAAAATTGATCAGTGTTAGGTAACTGGTAATTTGTTATCAGATACTGTATATAAAGTAATTTATTGAATATTATTAATTAAAAAATTAGAAATATATTAACATTTAAATTAATTATCTTCTCATATTTTAATTTATTAAACTAGGTATTCTTATAGAAACTAATTTTAAAAAATATATATATACAGTATACTATAAAAGATTAAAATTTTTACTTAACAATTATTTATAATTAAATTTATGAAAGTTATATAATTAAATATTTATAATAGCAATTAAAATTGCTATATGTATTACTCAACAAACAAAAATTTTAATTATATTATTAACCTTATGTTTAATCTATTAAACTTAAAATAATAATGATTTAATATTAGAAAGTAACATATAAAAATTATTAAGTTATTATAAAATAAGTCCTATCACAATCAACTTTAGATTTATAATTTAGATGAATAAATAACTTTAATAATTTGTAAGAATAATAAATATGATTTATACATTGAAAAATTTTAATATATGTATAATTTAAAAAAAAATCCTTTATTATAAAGATTATATTCTTAGCAATTCTTAATTTTAGATTTTAAATCTTTAATTTAAATTATTGAGTTATTACTGTTATCTCTGTTTTTTTACAAAAATAATTTTTTATCCTATTTATATAAAATTACAATTATAAGAAGATTACTATCTAATGCTATTTATATAAATTAATTTATAACGCTAAAAAAAATATAATATAATAAATATAATTTAACTATAATAATAAATATAAATAAAATAAAATGTTAAATAAGTTAAAGAAGATAAAATTGTTAATAAGGTTAATTTTTATCAATTCTTCTAATTGATTTTATATATATCAATATATAAATCTATTCTATTATTAAACTAAAATATTATTATAATTTATAAAGTATTATCTCTATAGATTTTCTAAATAATTGATTTCTTTATTAATTTTTTTTACTCACTAAAAAATCTTTTTTATCTTTTAAAATTTCTTTATTTGATTAAATTTATGAATTTATTTAAAAAATTAAATATGTAATAACTATTAATAAAAAAAAATCATTATATATAAAAAGTATCAAAATTATATTTTTATTATTCAAAATTTTTAAATTTTTGAATAAATAGGTTTATTAATATTAACTACTTTCTCAATAATTCACAATTTGATTATTTTTTTTTAATTAATCATTCTTAATATATAATTATCGATAATTGTTTTTTTTAATGTAATAATAATTAGTTATTAAATATTTATCTCTACTTTAATTAGATAGCTTTTGTAATTCTTTATAATTTAATTAAATTATAATAATATAATACATTATTTTTATTTAAATTTTTAATAATATAATAAAATTTATAAAAATGTTTTATATCTATTTTATTTATTATTTTTAAGTTTTTTAATAAAAAAAAATATAGAAAATTATAATAAATTATTTTTTTGGGTTTATTTTAAATTATATTAATATTTTTATTGTAAAATTTCTATATAATAAAAATAAAACTATACATTTTTATAAAATTTATGATAAATATTTATTTTTATATTATTATTTCTAATTAATTACTATAATTTTTTTACTAACATTTTTTATAATATTAATTGACCATTTAAATTAATATAATGACTAAAATTTCTAAACAAAATCTAGAGATTTTGCAAATTATTTAAATAGTAAAAAGTACAATTTAATAAAATTATATTAAAAAATCTATAAATTTAAGAAAAAATAAATTACATTAAAGCTTTTAAAATATAAAACTATACTTAAAATCTTAGTAAATTAATAAAACTAAAATTTAAACATTTTGTTAAATCCAAATAAGTTTAGACACATAATTTTAATAATAACATTTTTATATTATAATATTTTGAATTTTTAATTGTTAATAATATTTAATTTATATATAAATATTATTTTAATTAATTATTTTTAAATGTAAAAGAAATAATGAAAAAATATAATTATATTTTATCTAAAGAATTTGAAGTTAAAGAAATTTCTTAAAGAGATATTTGTGATTTAAAAGAATTATTATTATTGATATATATAATATAAAAGATATATTTTTATTAATATTAAAAAAACTTTATTTTTTAAATTAAAAAGATATTTAAGATTAATAATATTATTAGTAATATAATTTTTTAAATTTGTATAATAAAAAGAAAAATAAATAAATAATTTTGTAATATAATCTTAAATAATATAATATATATAGAAAAATAATAAATATACTTCTTAAAATCTTAATATATAAAATACTTAATAAATTATATTCTAAAAATATTTTTAATTAGGATTTTTTTTTTTTGAAAAATAAATTTAATTATACAGAGGGTAGATAAATTTTCTGAATATCTTTATAAATGCAATTTAACAAATTTTCATCATATAATTGTAATATTATACTATAGTTATATGACTGTCTATTGCTTATTTACATAATCAAAATAAAAAAGTTTATGTTCTTTTTTATTATTTTAATTTAATTCACTTAATCTCTACTAAATCGAAAAATAATAGAACAAAATAAAGAATTAACTAAAAAATAACATGAAATCATATTTTACTTGATTAGCCTAATGTTCTGATTTTAATCCAATTGAAAATTTATGGGATGATATTAAAAAAAATTTGTGTATATAAAAATCACCATTGAATTTTGCTAACCTTGACTGATATATTAAAAAGGTATGGTGAGAAATTCTAATGCATACTATTGAAAATTTAGTTGATAGCATACCATAGTAAATTTAGGTTGTAATGCAGCAAAGGGAGGCTCAAACAAGTACTAAAGTTTAATATAAAATGTATACCTTAACTAGCTTTAAATTAGAATTTTTACTATTAATGCTAAAGAATTATAAGTTTTATATTTGGTGAAAAAGTGTCTAAAAACTTTTGTTTACCCTCTATATTTTATTAATAATTTAGTTACTAAAATAAAATAGTTAAAAATTATTTAAACATTTTATTTACTTAAAATATAATTAAAAGTAAAAAGTTATTATTATTTTTATTTATAAATAAATATTAAAGTCTTCTTTTTTAATTAATATATTTAAAGAAAATTAAATTGATTGATTTTTTTTTTTTTAATAAATTTAATATTAAAGCTGTTATCATTAAAATAATATTAATAGTTTCATTTTTATATAATAATTTTTTAGATTTTTATTTAAAATAAAAAGATTTTATATGAGAAATTTTCTAGATATTGAGAAAATTAAGATCTTATTGTATTTTAATCTAAACCAAAATATGATAAAATCTTATTATAGCCATCTACCCATATGGAATTAATCATTTTTTCCGTATTTTAACTTTATATTATTAGAATATTTAATTGTGTATGAACACATGGTCATGTGATATATATAAACTAGTTACGTAAACACCGTAAAATGTTAATATTTGAATTCTAGCCAATCTCATCGAACAATTTCAGCAATCAAATATGATGTAATTAATAAATTTGCCAAATGTATTATTTAATGTCACGTTAGGATTTTAGTTTTCAAAATAGAATTAATTAATTCTTTTAAAGTTCAAAAGATTGAATTTAAAGTTGGAGAATTGCTTTTTGTACACGAGGTGTTGAATCGAGAAAACTAGCGAATTTCGTCAATTTCCATCATGTCACTAAACCTTACTTGTGTTATTAATGTATCAAAATTTGGTTTGACCACACTCAGTCTTTTGAACATGGTTTACTTAGTTGACTCGGTGATCTAGATGGCAATACATTGGATAAATAACTTTCTTTATGTATTTGTATATAACGCTTTATGAGCTCTTATTATAATTAACAGTTGAGCGGTAAAATCATACGTTTTCCATTAAATTTATAGAAAGAAATTGAACGCTTTTTTTTTTTTTTTAATTATAACTTTGAATTATTCAAGACATCGCTAGGTGTTAACCTGTTCAACAATTACCAAAGTTACACTCCATCCTGAAACATTGAAATTCATGCTTTAAATTTTCAAAACGAATGTCTTCAATTAATTATTGGAGTATATGTTCGATTGTGTTTGATAATTTTGGAACTTACTGTATATTGGTAATATAAATAAATGATCGCTTAAAAATTTTAATTTGCTCTAAAAATTGAAGATCAGTATTACCAAAAAAGATACACCAAATAAAGCCACTATTTATTCCATTTATAGTATAAAATGAATTATAAACATATTTGGTCGGGATCTTGTGATTCATTACTGTCAGAATGGGTTGACTCAAAAGGTTAATTTGTTTACAATGAGTGACATTATTCAAGAAAATGTGGGGTTGTGGCGTATCTATAAAAAATATGTCGTGCATTATGAGAAATTTTTTTTTTTTCTTTTCAAAGAACATAATGATCGTATTTATGGCGATCTTGTGTTCATTGATATCATGTAAATTTTGCGTCTATCAAAGATTAGATTATTGGATATTGAATTTTTTTATTTTGGAAAAAGATCACCGGGAACGAACTTTATTAACCTTATAATAATAGACCTGTCATCTATGCAAATGTAGGTGCATTGCATGCAGCATGAACAAAAAAAAATTTTTTCTTATATTAGTTAGATTTATTATTTACCACTTAAAATGAAACGCAGTAAAAAGGTTCTCTTTCAATGATTGAATGAGCATATATTTAACAAACAATCAGTAAATAATTAATTATACGATTAGATTAGAACGAAAGTATTCGGTTATATAAAGGACAGCAAAAGTTTTTGACCAAACTTCATTCTCTTATTTATTTTCCTTGTAGAAAAAGAAACATTTTAGAGAATTTCACTTATACATTTTTTTTTCCTTCAATTAAAATAATAATTTAAACGTTATGACTAAAAATAAGGAGCGACTGTTCAATACACATGTAATTATACTATTTATTAATATTATTCCTAATCGTAATAATCTAAACATTCTTTTGAATTTTTAGAAAGATGAAGTTATTATAAATTATATGAAAGCGAATTCAAATGAAAAATTTCCTTTTGCGAAATTAAGTAAGCTGTTTTTAAAGGAACATGTTATTTTAAAAGCAAAACAGATAGCTCATCGGTAAGTTAATTAAATATTTCTTATGTTTATAAAAAGAATTAATTAATTAAATACTCTTATAACATAATTATTAGTTGGTGGAACAAACTTGATCATCGTCGTAAGTAGATTGTACATTAATTACTTTGTTTGTTAAAAAAATAGTTGAATTAACATCTATCCTTTTGTTTAGTCAGCAAAGTACGTATCTCAGATAAAGAGAAGTCTTATATTAAATCATGGGTCGAGTCACATCAAAAGGCACGTCCAATCATTCAATGGAACGAATTACAATCGGAAATGAAAACCAAATTTGGCAAATTCCATTCGCGCAATGATCTTAAAAATGTTTGGTATTCTTACAAAAGATATTTATCTAGGGGAAATAATAAGAATAATATCGATAATTCTAAAGCTAAACTTTCTTACATTTTAAATGACGACGACATTTACAAGTACCCTTCTTAATATTGTATTAAGCAAATTTGTATAATTTTAATTAATCTAGTCTTTTTAACATATTTCTTTTTTTGGAAAACTGGTTTTTTCTTTTTGTAAATTTTTAAAAATTTTAATTAATCCAAATCAAAAAATTTGATATAGATAATAATTGATTTATTATTTTATTTCAATAAAAAAGAAAAAAACGTATCGAATTTCATGTGAAGCCAATCTAATTATATCGCGAATTGACAATAGTTGATAAAGTTGTTTAAATAAACGTATTGTTAGTATTTGCTTCATATATATACAACGTATATATATATTACTAATGGTTTTGCAGTCAAATTTGAAGGCATTAGCTTTATAAAATTTTATATTATGAGCAAATATAAATGAAAATCCTTACCATATAAGGGACTAAATGTACTGCATAATGATACAATATATCCGGCGTTTACACGTGCTTAAAAAAAGCATACATTTTAATATATTTTTTAATTTTTAAAATAATATTCGCGGATGAGTCAAGCAGAAGTTGCGAGGATGGTATCATACATTATATACAATTTCAATGACCGAGCCAACTTTGTACAGCTAAAGATCCATGCATGCTATAAGCCATTGGATGGGATTCTCGATAAATCGGATTTTCGCTATCGGATAAACATTTGCTATATTAAGTATTGTATTAGATTGGATAAAATCAATTCATTATAGATCCAATACCTGATGCATTTACTGCCATCACTCTTTTTTTATCCTTTTGAAACTAAGGAGAGAGATGGTAAATAATGTGACCATTCATTCGACCCCCTGAGCAAATTAATCTTTTTTTTTTTTTTTTTTTTTTTTTTTTTTTTTTGCGAAAATACCTCATCTATCAGTGCCTATTGTTTACAACTACAAATTCTTAATAAATTCAATGACATAATAACATTGTGTGACAACAATCCAGAAACCAATAAAGAAAAGTAAAAAAAAAAAAACATTAGATTAGATAGGAAGGATGATCCTACAAATTAAATTAAAGGCAAAAAAGGATAGTCAGATGGCCAATGCGTAATTGATCACATTTTGGGTGAATATCAAATACGAATAAACGTTCTTGTTTAAATTTTCTATAAAAAGGTGTAAGATTTTCTCCTTTCAATTCTCAGATTTTCTTTTTCTTTTTTCCTTTTAAATAACTCGAAAAAAGAATCTTTTAAAAAAAAAAAAAAATATTGTAGGATGAGGTTCAGCCCAGATGTAAGTGTCAATGGTTTATATTTATATGATAAAAAAAAATTTAATTATTAACCTTTTTCGTTACTTTTTAGCACGATCAAATTATTAGAAAATTTATGGACAATAATAAATCCGTTAAACATCCATTTTCAATATTAAGTAAAAAGGAATCGATTCCTTTTACCTCCAAACAATTAGCTAATCGGTAAGTTAACAAAATATTTATTTATAAAGATTTTTTATAAATTAAACTTTTTTGCATCATAAACAACAGTTGGTGGAGCATACTTGATCCTCGTCGTAAGTAATTAAACTTAGTCACTTATTGTTTTGTAAATAAGAAATTGGATTAATATATTTCCATTTATTTAGTTTGCAAGGACGCTTTCTCACAAGAAGAGAAGGATTTTATTTATAAATGGGTTCCGGAACATACACAACCAGAACAGAATATTCAATGGAAAGCTTTACAGCCTGTAATGGAAGCCGAGTTCGGTAAATTTCGTTCGCGCAATGATCTAAAAAACATTTGGAATTGTAAGAAAAGACAAAACGATCGAGCTAATCAAGTAGGCGATTCTAATTCTATTCTTCCCGATGACGAGCATGAATCCGGCGAGGAGGAAGGCGATGAATTATACAGCGATTATGAAATTGATATCGAAGCTGGTGATAATATTGCTGTAATCGAAGCTGAAGCCGGTGCTTCCAATAAAGCTTCTATTGATTATATGTTAAATAAAAATTAACTCCACAAATACACATCTATTTTAATGCTTTTCTTAGTAAATAGAGAAATTGATTCTTTCTTTTTTTTTCATTTATAATTTATTATTATTTTTTTTTTTTTTAGTTAGACCTTTAAATTTGACATAACAATTATTAATAATATCAATATAGAAATAAATTGTTTTTTTAAAATAAATAAAGAATATTGTTCGTAATTATCATTAACTTAAAAACTTTATTAAACGGTTGAGTGTTATAATGCAACTCTAAGCTATTTTATTGTTTTCGTAATTTTGGAATTATACAATGATTTTTTTCTTTTTAAAAAAAAAATTTATTATATTTGAGACGTGTAACATACAACTTATAAAAAAAATCCTGGTTTCCTTGTCATTCTAAGATTTTTATTTTACTAGTATCTAAATATTTTTTTTATACTTACTCGGCTAAATTATTTCAGCAAAGTAGAAAACTTTAAATTGGTAATATTATTTTGAAAAAAAGAACTTGCGTAGAAATTTTCTTGAAAAAAAAGAATTAAAAATATGTAAATCCTCTTTACACCATGCATGCAGATTGTACGATTTGACCCATATGTCTTCATCTACTAAATTGTTTCGGAAAATTGTACTTTTTATTTATTTATTTTTTTTTTGTACGAGACAAGATATGTTATGCATAACCTAATCAGGTTATGACCCGTGAATTTCTTGAGCGTAAGCGCCATAGGCGCCACTTAAAAAAACATTAGAAATATAAAAAAATTATCAATTATAATATAGATTACATAATTTCCCATGTTATGAAAAGTTGGGACCAGTGATGTGCATTTTATGCTTCCAGTAGTATAAAATTTGATTGGAAGCTTCCAATCCAAATGAATTTGTTAGAGAATTATGCTTCCAATCTTCCAAGTGCAACATCGCTGCATTATCCTTACGGATTTGTGGGGCATAAGCATAGGAATTCCTTACCGTATTAAGTCATAATATTCTATTTCATTTATCATAATAATTTTTTTATTGTAAATTAAAATCTTTTGTGCTTTTATTTGTGTATCAGATGATTGATAATATAAACAATGTTCAGTCAGATCTGAGAATTGTTCAATTCCGGATTAGATAAAGGTTAATGATAAAGGTAAAATATTATTTATCGAATATTATATTAGTTAAGTATACTCAATGTTTGCTTACTTAAAAAATTTAAAACATAGAATTTTATTTCAAAATGATAATGGAGTTTAGTAAATTTGTTCGCCCAATGATCCAAAAACATCTGGTATTTTAAGAAAAAAAGATCGAACTAGTAGATGACGAATATGAATGAGGCGATGTATAATTATCACATAAATTATTATTAATTATATATGCAGCAGTCATGAGATAAAGTCAATCATATGATCTTTAATGTGATAAGGAATTTTACTTATTATTGGATCAGAAATTTTTTTTTTTTTTTTTTTTTAGTCTAAAAAAACATTAAACAAATTCGATCCCCAAGAAGAGATTAGCTTGGCAGGAATTTTTTTTCCTTCAGAACAAATAGGATGTTAATGTGGCTAATTCTATATTTGGATTATAATAATGAGTCATTTTTAATGGAGAGGAATTTATTTATCGAGATCGATCCCACGTGAGAAATTTTCAATGAGTGAATGATCACATTTAACAAACAAATATCAATAACAAACATTTTTTTTTAACATTGTCTCATGTCAAATAATGTCGTATTACCATAATTAATTCGTATGACCAAACGTGTTACACCGAATCATTATTTCTTAAAGATAAGGATGAGATTCTTTCATTACATGTAATTGATTTATGCGCAAAATTCCGGATTTATTTTTTGTACTCGTGCAATGTCTCTTCTAAATTGTTTAAAAATCATAGTGCATTTTCTCGAAATTTTTAACAATTAATTAATCACCGAATGACAAAATTTTTTAATAGTTTAATGACTTTGGTAATTGTTAATGATAATCTAATTTATAAAACGAAAATAATCATATCGGTGAAACAAGTTGTCGGCAAAATGGAGTCGATAAATGTATAGTGTCGACGAATTGAGTAAATACGATACGATTAGAAATAATTTTCAAGTAATAAATATTTTGTGTTACATTGTTGCATTCCAAAGTCAAAAAAATGCGTTTAAAGGCATTCGCTTATTTTTTTTCCTTTTATATCATTATTGATTTTGGTGAAAATGGAATATTTATTGAATCACATTATACAAAATCATCGTATTCGTTCGCCACACCTCACCGCCACCAAATATTTGTAGTAAATATTGAAATTGGAGTGGATTAATTGACATTGTTATTTTATTTTTTTATTTAAAAAATAATACAAAGGAATCCGGAATTAAAAAATAAGGCATTGTCAAACTAACTGTTATTATGTAAACCAATAAATAATTAATTTATACATAAACTTTAACAAATAAAAATTATTTCTTTTTTGAAGTGCCAGAACCTTTGGATAAGAAATCATAAAATGCTTTTTGAGGCAATTCGATATTTCCTAAAAATATAAATTCGGAATAAGATTTTTTTCGTATTTAACATTCTAACGTAAAAGATAATCTTGATTACAACATACCAATCATTTTCATTTTCTTTTTTCCTTCTTTTTGTTTTTCAAGTAATTTCATTTTACGAGTTACGTCTCCCCCATACTAAAATTAGATTTCTATTAAAAGGAATATCTGTCAACAAAAAATAATGAAAAGATATACTACAACTTACGCATTTCGCAGTAACATTCTTTCGCATAGCAGGTATTCTAAAAAACAATCGTCATAAATCATAAAATCATAACAATGATATTCATAAATTAATCGGAAGATTACAAAACTTACGTTTCTCTAGCAATAACTTTTCCGCCAATAGTAGTTTGTATTATGACTTCATACAATTGTCTAAATTTAGATATATAATTAACCTTTTATTGATAATCTATTTGATGTTATCCTAGCAAACTTACTTTGGAATAACTTCACTTAATTTCTTTGCCCATTCTCTTCCAACATTTGCAACTTGAGATCTATGTAAAATTGTCGCTAATGCATCTACTGGCTTTTTATTAATTAACACATTCATCTATATAAATAATTTATCAATAACATAATTATTTTAATTTATTTAATTTATTAACAATTTATGAGAGCAAAAATACCTTAACAATGTCAGATATCTGATAACCCATGTCTTCATAATCAAAACTAATAAACAAAACATATTACGCAAAAGTTTCCATTAACAACCGCAAAACCATCATGTATCAATTAATTTATCAAACCTGGCATAACCACTAGATCTTGATTTCAATTCATCATGAAAATCTGTCACTATTTCTGCGAGTGGTATGCTATATTTCATAATGACGCGTGATTCATCCATATAATTATACTCTATTTGTTCTCCTCTACGAGACTAAACATATAAATAGTTGTTCAGTGATAGCAGCAGCAGCAGAAATATTAGAAAGGTGCAAATTCAATAAACATACCCCACAGAGATCGATAATGGATCCCATGTATTCCTAATAAAAAAAAAAGTTATTGAAATTTTTAGTAGGTCTTAATGGAATTCAAGTTTGAATCCTCCAAAGTAAAAGAAGTGAAATGAACAAAATAGTCTGGTTAAACGAATAACAACTACTCATCTAATCTTGATACTCCCAATTTTGATTATAAAAAACTGAACGAATTCTATACCTCTGGTAATATAATAGTAGCCAGAATCATTGGCTCTTGTAATTCAGATAATTTATTCTGCAATTCCATTGGTTCGGGAAATTCGGTTGGATTGCGAATTAGCTTTGTCGTCCCATCGCGATAAACTACTATAATGGTCATCAGGGGATTAAAAAAGTAGTAAATATAAATTCATAAAAAAATTTATGATTTATTATATGACCTACTCTTATAAGGTACAGTTGGCTGAGTGATAATTACATTAGCATCGTGTTCCTATGGTATTATTATTATTATTATTAGATTGTTTAGAATATCTATAAAAGAACACCCTTCGAACTATGGATTCTAAAATACCTCTTCGAGCCTTTGTTTAAATACGTCCATATGTAACGTCCCCAGAAATCCAATTCGCCAACCTTGTCCCAATGCCATACTTATCATTAAAAAAAAAACTAATTTTTAGAACATTTACAATGCAAAATCAATAAAAACATTTGGCCACTTTTCATACCTGGTTTCTCTTTGTATAGAAACGCTTGCATCATTCAAAGTTAGTTTAGTAATTGATTCATCTAATCTATTAAATTCGTTTGTATCTATGGGAAATACACCAGCAAATACCTAAAACATTTTGTTTATAAATTTTGTTAAAACAAAAAATATATATTTTAAGAATTGGAAAGATTATTGAAAATTTTAATACCATGGATTTTGCAGGTTCAAATCCTGGTAAAGGATCCACAGGATTTTTAATATGATAAAACGTATCACCAACATGAGCTTCAGCTGCAACTTTCATACTACAGACAACATACCCCACTTGTCCAGCGTGCCTATATTTAGAAAATGAATTAGCTGTCAATACTAAAAATGATTAACATAAAATAATTTATTTGTTACTAACAGATATCCTGTCGTAAATTGTTCGGGATGCATAATCCCAATATCAATAACTTCGTACATTTTCTCTGAATATGCCGACACAATCTTATCGCCTAAACAAATTATATTTGGTTAAAAACATATTTAGAATGCATAGATTAAAGACATTATTATTTACCTTTTTGTAACTTTCCATCTACTATTTCCATTAAGCAAATGACACCAACATATGTGTCATACCATGAATCAAAAAGAAAGGCTTTCAAAGGCTTATTAACATCTCCACTAGGACTAATAAAAATTTTAATACAATGAATTTGATATAATGGATTTGAAGTAATTACAGCTTTCAAAAGTAAAAACATACGGAGGTATCTTTTCAATTACACTTGGTAAAATTTTATCAACACCGATTCCAGATTTAGCTGAAATCTTTAAAGGAATTTATTATTAATGTTTAAGTAATTCAAAAAGTAAAGAGTAATAATAATAATTTCGTACCAATGAAATTTCCGATGTATCCAATTCAAACGTGGACTCGACTTGATTTATGACACGATCGGGTTCAGCAGCCGGAAGGTCAATCTATAAATTAAACATTTAAACATCAAAATAGAAGGAATAATATAAGAATTTAGTCATAATGCTCTTACTTTATTTATAACTGGTATGATGGTTAACCCTTCATTAAATGCCAAAAAAAAATTAGCAACAGTTTGGGCTTGAATTCCTTGTGATGCATCTACTAATAATATCGTCCCCTGACACGCAACAAGTGATCGTGATACTTCATAATTAAAATCAACATGTCCCTAGATAATAAAGTGAAAAAAAGGGTATTAAAAGATCTGATAATAAGGAACAATGCAAATTTTAACTTACCGGTGTATCGATTAAATTAAGTAAATAATCTTTGTCTTTATATTTATAAAACATAGAACACGTCTAATTATTAATAATGAATTAATTTATGGTTTATGCAACATGATTGATAAGTAAATAAACATGCCTGAGCCTTTACTGTGATTCCTCTTTCTCTTTCTACGTTAAGCTTATCCAACACCTGTTGATGTGAATGATTAGAAGAAATTGTACCTTTATTTCGTAGTAAATAATAAAATTAGCATAATCTCTTTATTAGATTTAAAGTATATTTTAAAATACGCGTTACCTGTGAGTTCTAACAGTCTTCAATAAACAAAAATTGACACAAATTAATTAGATGGGATACAAGATACAAACGTGGTTTAAGAAATTTCATGACAATTCTACCTATCTGCTAATGTACTTTTGCCATGATCTATGGGATTAAAATAAATTTTATACTAAGTATCTTATAAATAATTAATAAAGGGGGGTTTTTTATATATATATTTTCATAACTTACCTACATGAGCAATAATACTAAAATTTCTAATATTTTCAGCCGGAAATTTTGATAAATCTATATTTTTAATATTCTGCTTAAAAAATTATTAATTATTTTAAGGATTAGTTTAAAATTGCATTCTTAATTTTATAACGATAAATTAAAATTACCAAATTCGACAATGAAGATTGATTTCTTTTCTGTAACGATATCCAATTATCATAATTTATATAAGGTCGTAATCTTTTTGAAATATATAATGAATTGGTAATACATTTTAAAGAGCGATTAATTATATAGGTATTATTTAATGATTTAATGTTGGGAAAAATTGCTCGAGAAATCATTTTTTTTATTTAAGAAAGAAATTCGATGAACATTTTATCAATCTCTTTTTTTATCAAAAAAAAATTTTTTAAGTTACGATCTACATTCGGTCGTACAAAAAAAAAACCACTAAATAAAAAAACTAAAACATGGAAAATCAAAAACCTAAATTTTCGTTCTCGAATATCAATGAACAATTTAGAAGTATGTTATTTTTACGAAAAATCCCATAATTTTTTTTAAAAAAAAAATAAATTTTTTCTGAATTCTTTCAGAAACTTTTCTACGCGGGTCCTGTAACATCCTTATGTTTTCATAATGACTTAATATTATTGTCGGGTCAAGGTCCTTATTTAAAAGCCTTTTATGTGCCGACTGGAAAATTGTTATTTAGTTATCCTGTTATAGAACACTTGAGAATACATCGAATTGTTCCAGGTAATCTTAAAGTTATATTTGAATTTTTATTTATAATTAAAGATAATAATATTTTTGTTTCATTTCTAAAAGATAGTACTGTAAAAAAAGAAATAATTGTAGATAAAAATAAAAATATCAGTAATGCTGGTGGATCTTGTTATATTAATATTATCAAAGAGCAAAGATTATTGGCTATATATGGATCAAAAACTATTCAACTTGTTAATTTAATTATAAATTATTTTAAGGATAGGTGCTTGGATTTTATTGTTTTCAGAGTTTTGTTTATTCTTATAAGTTCCTAAATTTATTATTATTACTTTAAAAAAAAGTCTCGAACTACCTAAAATTTCAATTTCTCTCGAGTCGAGATTGTCGCCTTTAAAGGATTGGATTCATGATGTCAAATGGTTGCATGACAACATAGGCAATTCGATGTCTACAAATACTAATTCTAGAGATGATGTTGAAGTAAGGAATGAATGATTTCATTGTTTATGCCTAAAATTTCTAATTTCAATTCTCATTATCTTTCAAATAATTATTTGAAGTCCACAATTTTTGAAAATAATCCGAGAGAATTAGCAATAGCTTTTGCGCATAATTTTGTTGAAATTTGGAATATCCAAAATAAAATTTGTGTTTATTCTATACAATGCGAAGAGCGCTGCATATTGTATTCTGCTAGATTCTTTGGTGACACTCGGAATGAGTTAATAATGGCATCTGGCACAGTATTTAATCAAATTCATTTGTGGGACGTTATGAAGAAAAATGAATTTGGAGATGGGTCTGTATATAAGAAACTCATTGGACATGAAGTAAGTTCCAAATTTTCATTTTATTGTAAACGTTAATAAATAAATAATTGCAACTATATATATTATAGGGTGTCATATTTGGAGTAAGATTCAGTGAAGATGGAAAAACTATAGCTTCAGTATCAGATGATAGAACCGTTCGTCTTTGGAAGACGGATAGGAATGACAGGTGTGATGCATATTTATTTCTTGAGCATATGAAATTATTTGTGAATCAAAATGTTGTTAAATGACTTTATTCACGTAGATCCAATCCTCTTGTGTTATTTGGGCATATGGCACGTGTTTGGGATTGTCATATTATAGATGATTATCTCATCAGCATCTCAGAGGTATATTTTTTTCTTTTTTTTCACATAAAGTTATTATAACTACTCTAATTACTAGTAATTATTAAGGATTCAACGTGTCGAGTCTGGAAAAATTCAATAGATTCAAGTGACTGTGATGACTTAGATTGTATTGCCTGTTGGGAAGGTCATGTTGGAAAGAATATTTGGAGTTTGGCAATTGATCCTTCCAAAAAAATTGTTGTGAGTTGTATTTTAAAATTAATGAATGAGATAGGAATTCTTTAGTGATTTTGATGCATTTAGGCTACAGGTGGAGGAGATTCAGGGATTCGATTATGGTCACTATTTACGGTTACAAACAATAAAATAGGTACGTAAAAGCTTAACAAGTTAAGAGGTTAATAATTTTTTACTTATTAGTTTATTAATCGTTAATGTAGATTCTGATAAGGATTTAATTAAAATCGAATTACCGCCTGTTGTTTCATATGTCTGTTTAGAAGAAGTAAGTTCTTTGTTGGTAGGATTCCGATAACTTATGTAGTCTTATTACCTAAAGCGTTTTTTTTTATAATAGGAAAATGGACATCCTTCTAGAGAACATGTGAGAAATTTTGTGCTAGTTGATTATTGTACTATTGTGATAGCGACTAATTACGGGTAGATCAACAAAAATTTTCTATTATTAAAAGTTAGTCGCTATTTAATTTAATTTGTGAAATGCTTATTTATAGACATTTGTTGAGATATAATCATGAAACTAAAGAATGGTTATCATTGTATAATTCAAAGGATCTACAAAATTATACAATGATGAAAGCTTCAATATGTGGAAGAGTTGTGTGTTGCGGTAGTATTAATGGACAAGTGTTTGTTACAAGTGTGAATCAGAAATTTCAGGTAAATAATAAAGTATTAACTATAAAATCCAATGATATTGAATACTTATTTGATATGAATTATCAAGACTATAGTGAGGAAATTGCATCAATATAAGTTATTTGAAATATTTTTGGAGGAAACTAAGGGTTTGTATTTAACGTTTGAATTTATATGCGTTGTCACTGGTATATTTATTTGTTACTTAGTATTTTAATTAAAATTAGATCCAGATATTTTATATGTGGTTTCCCATGCAGTTCATAACGATATATATTTGTTAAAATTAGATTTGAACTGCATGGCTGGTGCAGTAAGTCTCTTTATTTAAATCCTTTGTTTTATGATATTATTCTCACATATAAACCAAAAATAGGAACCTGGTTTTGAAATCATGTATAAAGTCTCTGTACCACCACAATTTCTTTTAATGTCTCTTTCGTTCTGTCCATCATACGATCTTTTAATATGCGGATCACGCGAAAGTTGTTTAACTATCTATAGCTTGCATTCAGATTGTAAGGAAGGAACTGTAAGAGAATTATCTCCGATTATACATTTAAGGAATACACATGGAAAACAAGCTGTGACGTCTGTTGCTTTAAGGACAAATAAATCGGAAAGTAATGATGACAAATATGACGAAGAGGTATTAACGATATATACTTCAGGAAGAGATGGAGGATACAACAAGTATAGACTCCGAGGTCTGTTTTCTAAAGGTACAAGAAAAGAACTAAAAACGATAGAAATTGATGGAGCTGAATTATTAAAAAATGATAAACCTAGATCATTAAAGAACTGTGAAGATACAGATAGAGAAGATGATATTGGTTGTGATAATGCTTTAAAGAAATCATCTAAGAAAGAATTAGTTTCAGAAGACGGATTGATTTTAGAGCAAGTATATAAAGCAAAGATTACCAAGGGTTGGTTAGAGAAGGTGAGCTATGGTGACACAAGATTTAATGATTTTTATCATTAAATAATGTTATTGTTAACTATGAAAGAATTTAAAAGGTAATTTTTGTAGATGATGAGCTCATGTTATTAGGATTTTATCGGAAACGATTTTTTGTCTATAATGAAGACAAGAAATTCGAGGTATGTTCATCCATGTTTTTGTTTAGGGATATAATACATCATTATAAACCATTTATACGATAATATTCTTTAGATGTTTTCGGTTGCGTGTGGAGGAGCACATAGGATGTGGCATTTTAAAGCTAAAGATAAAAGAATGGATAAGGCAAGCTTCATGTTTATCAGGAAAGAGAATGTAAGACTATTTTAATTCATTATTACATTTATAAAATCGGTAAATTCTAATTTTTGAACAGATCTATATTTATTCAAGAGAAAGTTCGGCAAATAATGAAGGATTTGACGATTGCAAATTACAAGAAAATTTTCACGGGAGGGAGTGTAGAATTATTAAGTTTTTATGTATGTATATAAAAGTTTTATATTATGATGATACATAGCTATAACATAGAACTTATTTTTTTTTATATAGCGTATCCATTGAAAATTGATTTAGGAAGAGATCAAAAGTTCGAGAATCCGATATTATTTGCCACAGGAGCAGAAGACAGTTTATTAAGGCTTTTTCAATGTAAGGAATTGGGGCTTCTTTAACCTGCACCGTGTTCATTATTGTAATTATCATGTGATGATTACTTTAAAGGTTTATTTTATTTATTTAGGAGATCTAGAAGCATTTTAAGGATCCCTGTATTTAAGTTATTAACTATTTTTTTCATGGTGTTATAGATATGCCCGGCGAGATAGAAAATCATTTGATTGGTTTGTCCAGCATAAAGAAACATACATCTGTGATTAGAAGTATAGAATGGAGCTTTGGTAAGTTATTCCTTTTTTTAAAAAGATATACGTATATATATTATGATGATTATAGCATGATTTATTAATAAATTATTTAGGAAATGAATTGCTGCTATTTTCAAGTGGAGCTAGTGAAGAGTTAAGATGTTGGAAAGTTGATGCCAGCCTTGAACGCGGTCAACCAGAAATCAATACTTGTAAGTCATAATAACTAACTAATATTTGTTTTTATTAATCTTTAATATATTTTATATTATAGCAACAATACCATTAATAAATATAAATTGTTTAGAATGGTCTTCGTGCCCAGCTGTTAGGTATAATAATCAATTTAAGTTAATGCAATTTATTAATAATTAATTTAAATACGAATTAACGTTTTTTTTTTGCCTTCAATACTAGTGAAATTCCAGAAACTAGAATTATGGACATTTCTGTTTGTCCAATAAGACCATCGAGGGGATTACATGTTATTGCTGCTGTATATTCTGATTCTGTATTAAGAGTAAGATTGTCTAAATTTTTTGTTATAAAAGAAATCATCTGGTAATCTAAGTAAATTAACCAATTTTTTTTATATAGGTATGGCTTTTCGATGAGAAAAAAAGAAAATTTTTCTTGATAGGAGAAGCCAAATTTCATTCGAATTGTATTTTACAAGTTCAGAATTTAGTCGTTCCAGGTATTTATTATTTAAACATGGCAAATTTCCGAAATTGCATAGAAAATTTATCAATAACACCATTTAATGAATATGCAGCAAAATTATCGGTCGTGGAAAACCCCAAACAACGTTCTTCAAATTCTTCTGATGGAATTGTTTTATTTACTTCTGCAACAGATGGAAGGTAAAGTATATTCAAATGAAACGTAAGGTATTAAATGTTGAAACTTAAAAATTTTATTTGGTAGGGTTGCTATTTGGGACATATCTGGACCCATTTATAGGTTTGTTTAGATAATGACCTCAAGATATTTCTTGCTTTATTTTTATCAACCATATTCTCTCCTTTAATTATCTAGTTACTTGGATTCATATAATAATAATGATGAGACAAATGTCAAATTTAATTCACAAGATTTGGGCGTGCCAATTTATTCCTACCAAGCTCATCAATCTGGGGTAAATTGTATTGCAATACATCCAAAGTCTGGTTATGATTTCAGATATGTGATTGTAACGGGTGGGGATGATAACGCGCTCTCAATCGCATACATCGACATTTTATGGAATGTAACCTGTAAAGGGAAGGATGATGACGGAAGGATACATTTGATAATTAAACCTAATAAAGAGATCATGAAAATGAAAATGGCGCACGGATCATCCATTCAAGGTAATAAAATGACAACACTTTTTGTTTCCTTGAAAATTTTAACATAATCACTTTATTCATTTGTTTATTTTTAAAGGTGTTCATATCTTAAGTGATACAAAGATACTGAGCACGTCACTAGATCAAAGATTGAATTTATGGGAAGTAGGTGTTGGCAAACCAGATGAGATTGATAACTCAAAAGATGGTTTAAAATTAGTTAAGACGGAATTTGTAGATGTTTGCGATCCGTCTTCAATGGATATTCTAGACATTAATGGTTACGTAAATGTGGCAATTGTTGGCATTGGCATTGAGATAATTAAAATTAATTAAATAATAAGAATAAAATTAGAAATATATATTAGATAATTCCATTGAATTCCCCATAACATTTAATAATGTCTGGATATTCTTCACAAATCTTTACTAAATCTCCAATCACGACCGTATTATTCCAATAAAAATTGAATCCTCGTAAGATACCATCAATATTTCCATTCTTTTGTCTAATTTTTAAAAAGTGTTCAAAAATATTACTATGAATCTTCCAACCATGAACAATTGTAAGGGTGTCTAAATGTAATAAAGGTGCTTTACATAATTCTAATAAAAGAGGATCAAAGCTAGATCTAGTTTCAGGTACAATTAAAGGAGCAAGATTAGGTTCAGAATCAGATATCAATGGATTATTTAAGGAACAAATTGATGTCAGAGGATGTAATCTTAAATTTTTAATAAAAGGGCAAGAAATTAATAATTGAGACAATTCCAAAGTATTTTTCGAAGAAATTGGACCACTATAAAATGATAGTAAAGGACAATTACTTGATATAGTAGATAAGAGTAAATTGGAATGATCAGGATTTTGAAATTTACAACATTGAATAATGATTTGAGATAATTTACTACCACCAAAATGATTATTAAAATTCGTGTTACTAATAAATTTTGCAAAAATATCTAAATAAATGGGATTTGGATTTTTATAAACCAACTTTTTTAAATTTGGTAAAGAGATTAAGGAGAAGGATAACCAATCTTTAATATTATAATCATGATAACCACAATCCGTTAAACTTAATTCTTGTAAGATTTTAAAATTTTCCAAATAATTTAAGGGGAAATATAATTTTTCTAAAGTCAAATGAGTCAAACTATTTGATTTGTCTAAAAATGTTGAGACAGCCTTTTGATCTATCAAGATATCATACATGATATGATATTGTATGGTTAATTCTTTTAAATTCCTTTGAGATTTTAATAAGGTGAGAGCCGAATTTGTCATGTTTTTATAAATTGTGAAACAAATCCTTTCAATGGAAATCGTGATTTGAGAGAGTTTTAAAAATAAATCTTCCATTATAGGAGTATCAGAATTATATTGAAATTCTTTAAGATTTGAGAAACAATTTTTAGTAGTTTTAGGAATTTGATGAATAATGTCTAAGATGATATCAGAAGTGGTACCAGTAGTTTTAATGATAGTAGTATGACTTATTTTTAAAGTATCTATAAAAGAGGAATTATGTAATAAATGTGTTGTCAGGATCGAAAGTAATAATTTAATTTGCGTGGAAGTATAAGAAATTTTACCATAATTCGGGTGTGCAAACCAATCTTTTACTGCTAAATCTATACAAAGCATGTCTATTACACGAAGGAATGATGGATAATCAAATGTTAAATTTGCTACTTCTGGGATTTTGATCTCATGCGTGATTAAAGTGTTTTTCGATTCTTGTGATAACGTCGATATAAATGTGTTTATAAGTGAAAACATCCTCCTTGATCCATATCTACTATCAAATTTCGTTAACGAAAATGGGTTGCTCCATAATATCGGTATCGCCGTTTGACACCAACATCTATTAACTAATATGCAAGGAAATAATAAGACTGGATCATCTTCTAGATATTTAAATATTGCTATTAGACATTCTGGAATTAACGTTGATGCCATAATAAAAAAATAATAATAATTTGGGGGGAAAAAAAAAGATTTCGGTCAAACAAATAAAAAAAAGATTTTCACAATGGCACGTAAAATGAATTACTGTCGTACAAAAGCCACTTCATTTAATCATGCAACATTCGGATCCAATAAGCGGACGGACCCAATGAGCGCAATAAATTTCCTTATTTCGAAATTATTTCGTTGATCTTTTTTTTTTTTTTTTTTCCTCTCACGATGGAGTCGGACCGCCTATGTGGGCAAAAAAAAAATATTTGGATTTCAATTATTTGTCACGAGCAAAGTAGTGAATGAATGCAACGAAGTTGTTCGTGCATGTATGAATCAAAACGGGAACAATTGCGATAAAAAAAAAAAACATTTTTTGGATGAAATGATTTTTTATTGGCCTCTTTTTTTAACAATTTATTTTTTTGATGGAATCGTTCCAAGTTAAATTTTATTTTCCTTTAAAAATATCATTCGATTTTTTTTTTTTTTTTATTTATTTATTTTATCAATCTGATATTAACTTTATGAGACAAGGCACTTTTACCTTTAGCACGAATAATTCAAGTTCAATTTAAAATTTTTTTTTTCTTGCCTAAATACTCCGATTTTATATTCTTTATTTACTTAAAATATTAAAATAATTGGCATCAATTTTGTAAATATTTGGAATGGATTTTTGATGTTTTTCTTTCTCAATATGAACCATCAAATGAAACTTAAATAACAATTACACTATTTTGTACACATTTAATAATTGCCTGGGAAATTGTAAAGTTTTTCTCATTAAGCTCATAACACATGAAGCAACTGAAATGATTTAAGAATGTTGGAAGGTTGAAACTTTTTGATAAATATTTATTTTGATTTATTTATAAAAAAAAAAAAAAAAAAATAATAATAATAATAATAATAATTAAAAAAAAAAAAAAAAAAAAAAAAAAAAAAAAAGAGCACTCGTACTTTTATGTCGGCGCGAATGCGTCTCTTTAATTTCGCATTGGGCCGTTTTTTTTTTTTTAACAAAAAAAAAAAAAATTTAAATTCCGAATTATCCATCAATTTTTTTTTTTTTTTTTTTAATTGAAAACATATATATTATGCAGAGAAACTTTCTTAAAAAAGAAAAATAAACAACTTTGCATTTTTATATTGTTCTTTTGAATTTTTTTTTGTTGTGGTTATACGATGGTACGATATCAACGCTTCATTGAAGCTCGCACTAGTCAACTTTAGGCTAGCAGGTGGATCGTTAATCACGTGCATTGACCAACCGAAAAAAAGGAAAATTTTCACCCGAGATTTGGGTCTAAGCCTATATAATGCACGTAATGCGATTGCGCATATAAAAGCAATTCTTGAAAACTATCATGTTTGAAATTTTTCACTTCAAAGAAATTTACCAACTTTTTATAAATAAAAAATGCCCGTAACGATAAATACAGATATTTTAACAATAATTTTACACTCTCTTAGATATCATAAGCGAACGTTGCATTCATGCCTTTTGGTCAATCGAATTTGGTGCAGATTGACGATTCCAATCTTATGGAGGGATCCTTGGACATTCTTTTACCGATTGGAAAATGATTCCTACCCTCAAAACCTGACGCGATCGATGACTTTAATTAACACATATTTGGCATCACTCCCTCAAGAATCGATAAACGAATTGAAAGAACATGGAATTGATGTTCCGGATTACCCCACTAAACTTTGCTTTAACTATCCAATTTATTTAAGGGGTTTGGATCTTAATTACCTTCACAAGTTAAGTTCCTGTTGGGTTCACTACAAGTATAATGAAAAGGCTTCGATACATCATCCCTTTCAAAAGGCTGTCTCATGTATAAAGAAATTCGGTAAAAAATTTTCGGGTCGGGATGATTCCTTATTGTCAAAGAATGAGATGAATCGGATAAGAGTTCAAATTCACTTGATTTGTTCAAAACTTTTATCACTCTTCTTGATAAGATCACCTAAACTAAGTTTGCTTCGCATAAAACCAAAGAGAAATGAGGTCATATTTTCTTTGTTTGATGCAGACCTAATATACCTTAGTGCAACAAATAATTGTCTTTCCTTTCTAACTGGATTAGAATGCGTCGATGATCATGACATGGAAAGAATTTATAATCAGCTTGCGTCAAGTAGCACAAACATTTCTCGAATCATGATTTATGGACAACAAAATTCCATGTCATTGGCGAATTTGATAAGTGTACAAAAAGAATTACAAAGACTTTACCTTGTGAATATCAACAGCATCACCTATTGGACGGCACCTGGCGTCGGATCAGAGTTACAAAAGAAAGCTTTCTTGATAACCAAGCTTAAGTTGGAAAGTTCGTGCGGTTGTTTAAAATTCTTGGGAGATTTTATAAATTTGGAGGAACTTTCCCTAAGGTGCCTTCATAAGGACCCTTGTTATAATGCTCGAGGTTCCGTAAAGGCTCCTTCGCTTCGTAATTTAAGGAAATTGGAATTCGAATATAATCACAAATATGAAATAAAATTTATAGCAGATTTAATTCAAAATACTTTTAAATTAAGAAAGGTTGTGGTTGAGGGTTCAAGAATCTTGGATCCGATTAACGTTCAACTATTATTTGAATCGATTATAATTTCTTGTCCACATATGAGGAATTGTTCAATCCCCATTTCCGTCATCAATCCTCCCCTGATCACCTTATTCGATTCTTGTAGGCATATTAAAAGGTTATGCCTCTTTTCCATTCCTTCCGAAGCACCAATTAATATTAATTATTGCGATAATTTCCTATTTCAAATATTGAAATCAAGGCCTGCCAATTTACGTACCCTTGAATTAATTAATTGTAGATTTTCCGTCAAGGTGTGGGAAATATTTTTAAGGGCTCAACCTTTCACCAATTTAAGGTTCGTTTCTTACTTATGGATGAAACATAATTTTCAACCTTCCGTGGAGTTCTTGGAGATCTGTTCCAAATATAAACGTTTTGGTTTGTTGAAAGCGTTTGGAAAGATTGACTTATTTAGAAATTGGTATGTTGCCACCTTTTATTTTCTCTCTTATAACTTGTTATACCATTTTCACATTTTTAATTGATTCGATTCAATCTTTTTCATTATAGTTTATTCCCAAAGTATTATTTGAGAATCGATTAATTATCTTAATAATATAATATTATAATTGCATTCATATTTTTTTAATTTGCGCATTTGCATCTTACATACGAGGAAACTTTTGGTAATTTTGGGACTTTGCCGATAATAATATCATCATTATATGACGAAATGAAAATTAATTAAATAGCATATTTCACCTTGCAATCATATATAATACGTAAGGTAAAGGACTTTTACTTAGTAATAATGTAATTACCCCTAATTTTTAATTAGACATTTATATTAGCATCAAAAAGAAAAAAAAAACACATACTGTACATTGATTGTATCGTAACAAAAATAAAACCATAGAACATTAAAATTTTTATTCCGCTCGATTTTAATTGAGATCACGTAAAATATAAACAAAATACTATCATATCAATAGCATTTCTAAACCTGAACACGAAAAAATACTCATCACTTTCACATAAAGATTAAAAATCTTATATTTATTTTACCACCAGAAAAAAAAAAACGTATCTTGGGCAAGTTCTTGACAAAGTCAACAAGTCTCAAATGGATTGCTTACTAACGATATTACGAAAAGTTGCTTTGCTGTAATTATTATTACTTGTTGAAATTTGTTTGGATGTCATTTGAAATTTAATCATGTTTGTTAATAGACGGATCACGTCTTGAAAATATCATTATTACCGTTAGAGTATTTTAAAATGTTGAAATGATTTTTTTTTTTTTTTTTTTTTTTTTTTTTTACGGGAAAAGGCAAATTTACTCGATGAAAGAGAGTTATGGAGGCGTAAATGGCACATTAACAAATTTATTATAAAATCATTATTGCATATTTGTATGACAATAATAATTGAACCTTATTGACATTTCTTTTATTATTTGTTTAATGTAAAATTTCAATGAAGGATATAAATACATGTACATTTGATATCATTATACGCCGTCCCAATGAATTTCTACCCGTTCATTAATATATAATCCCTTATATAGAAATAATAACTTTTAAAAGATCATTAGATCTTTGCCAGATCTCATTATACTATTGTGATATCGTAAAACACTTACTTTGGCGAATCATCTATCGCTTTTTCAAAAAGTTAAAATGATTGGTTGTCTGAATTTAAAAATTCAGATACTTTGTTTTCAAGATAACCGCGTATTTAAAATCAGACCGCCTTTTATCGGCAATATACAACTTTATCTTTTGTCCTATATTCTATTTTTATCAGTGACTTTTATAATAATCCTATATGACTATTATTGCGTCATACCACGTATTTGCGATGATCTTATCTGATGACATTTGGTGGCGTACGAAATCCCGAAACTCGAAATCCCGAAGTCGAAATCCCGAAAATCATAATCCCGAAAAATCATAATCCTGAATAACAATATCCCGAATGTCATAATCCCGAGACTGCAGAATTTTTATAATTTTATTTAACTGCGAAAAATTTGATTTTGACATTTTTAATGATTGTCCACGTGAGTTTTAAGAGTTTATTTTATTTAACTGCGGAAATGACATAATTTTGATATTTTTAATGATCATTCACATGGATTTATAAAGATAGCTATTCTTCTCTTTTACTAAATTACAAACAACAAATATGGATGAAAATTGTGAAATCGTAGAAATCATACCTTCTCAAAAAGGAAATGATAAAATAAAAGTTCATGGATATTTGATGGTAAAGGAA